GGAAATTGCCTATATCGTTGCTGTGTCATTAGCAATTTTCGGTGAAGAAACGCTCCAGATTTATTAACGTTTTATAGCCGAAATCTAGGTCATACTCACTAGATAACTTTTATGATTTACAAAATGTTAATTATATTGTACCAGTTTCCATGAGAGAACGTATACATATGTTTAAATAACATACTTAAAATAGGGGATTAGTCATGATTATTATTTTTGTTTTAAGTGCTGCTTTTACGCCTATTAAATTATTTTGTCCCCCTTTTTTAATTTATTAAGCCCAAGTCCTTATACCCTTGATATGTATGATTGAAAAATCAACATAATGTGGACATTTTGTAGTATACCCGATGATATTTTTAAATATTTCTATAAATCATTTTATTTATTTACAAAAGCTTAATTTCCAACCCACATGATAAAATAGTTAATAATGATAGTTCATTTGATACTATATTCTATTAATGAATCCCATGATTTTATAACTATTACAGATAATGTTACAAAATTCTTCCCCAATTAATGATATCAGTGGTAATTATGATAATAAATCTATTGAATAGCATGAATTTACACCTATAAAATCAAATTTAAATAATATAAAATTTTTCCTGAATTAAAGATATTAATGATAAATATGATAAAAAATCTATTAACGAATCGCCTTAATTTATACCTATAAAATCAAATTTAAATTATATATTCTCATCCCCAATAAATGATATAAGCAGTAATTATGATAATAAATCTTTTAATGAATAGCATGAATTTACACCTATAAAATCAAATTTGAATAATATAAAATTTTTCCCAATTAATGATAATAAATATACTAACTAATAATAAAAAATTCACTAATTTTTCAAAAAAAAAAACATTTTATCATCAAACTCTTCAAAAAATAAAAAATTTTTACTATGCGATATTAGTGATATCATCTTAAAAAATTATTTACGTTAAAGAGTTTTTATTAAGTATAATACCGCAATTCCCTTATCTGCCCCTGTAGAGCGCGTTTTTAGTATAGATAATGCCCTATAAACTGCCAAGCGTTCCTGTCTATCAGATGAAATTTTGAAAAACAATTGTTATTTAAAAATTATTAAGAAAAATTTTTTTGTAAATATAAATATCTTTTTTATTGGCTATCTATATTATATTGTATTTATAATTTTATTATCAAATAAAAAACTATATTATTTTTTAACATGGCTAATATATTGTGTTTAAAAAAAATTTAGCATAAAATTTTGGAATGAACGTGAACGCTTTCGATTTTTGTCAATGAACATTGAACGCGGAGGCGTTCGATTTTTCTAGAAATGTTTACAGCACTAAATAAAACATATCTCTTGATTGTTTTTTTATTTTGATTGTATTTTTATCCAAAAAAATTTATAAATTTTATTTTTTTTATTATTATTTTAAAATAAATATTTTAAAATCTATTACCCTCATGTAGCGGATAGTTTTATTATAAATTCTAAAAACCAAAATTTATTTAATAAATGATTTTATATAGCTAATGTAAAAAAGCCCTCACTTTCAACCCTTCCTATTTTGAAAGTATAGTAAACCAACAATTGAAAGTACCAACAATTTATAATATCTTTATTTAAAAAATGAATCACTTTGAAAGTAATGTGAAACTAAAACATTTAACATTTAATAAAATAAAATGTCTATTTTTCTAATATGTATATAATGTAGTATATTAATGTTGAGGAGTCAAAAACCTTGACTAATTTAGAATAAAATGTAATTTTTATATATATTGAGAAGTCAAAACATCAATCATTAAGTTTAAGAACTAATAAAATCTACTAAATTTAACAAATGTAAATCTAAAAAAGTTTAAATGTTATAATATATACTAATCCAATGTACTTATTTAATGAAGTTTAAAACATACTTTTAACAAAGTATTTACTATATATTATTTAAGCCCACTTCAAAACCATTAAAAGTATTAGGTAGCTAAATATATTTGTTATATGTTGGTTAAATCAACTATAAACAGAAAAATCTGCTAAAACCAATTTAAGATCTAAGGACAAAACAATAAAGTATATTGAGACTAAACCATTTTAAAATAAATAGACCATCGCAGTGTAGACAGAAGATAAAAGTTTTAAAAAATTCATATATTTGTAATATGTTAATTATATTTTAAGTTATGGTAACAATAAAATACATAAAGGCAAAACCATTTTAATTTACTAGAATATAACAAGGTAGACAAATTATTGACTACATATTTCTTAATTTGTAATACATAGTATTAGTACTTCTCAGAGGAGGTTAATGCAGCATTTCGATGAAACAGCTAATGGAAAAATAAAATCAAAAATATACCTGTTTTGAGAAAATTAAAAAAGAATCAACCGCTAATTGAAATAGGTATTAAAATCAGATGGGGGAAAGGTTTCAAATGGCCTGTTTCAAAACTACATTACTTGTTATCACGTTTGAGGTATTCTTTTTAGAAGGTTAGTACCCGTCCATTTTGATATTCAAATCATTTTTATTGTTCTTTTCTAAAAACAACCCATGTGATTTTAGCTAAATTCAAATAAATTCAAAACAACATAGATTATCGTTTCCCGAAAATAGTGAAAAGAATAAGTCAAATTTTTCCGCATCCAGAGGCATGGTAATTAAATTTAAATATAATAATATCTTTATTTTAAAAAAAATGAATTTTTTAAAAAACATTTTTTTAATGAATAAAAAAAAATATTATCTAATCATCATTTTTTACTTCAAATATTATAATAATAATCCCCCAATCAGATGTATGCAATACCTCTGATTGACGTTTAACCAAAATAAATTGTAAATACATATAATATACTAGGACATGTCACCCCTTTATGGGCCAGTGACATTCCTTAAAAAAAAATTACTATACTACAAAAAAAAATTTTTTATTCAACATATTCTATCACTTGACATCAGGGCTACATCAATAGCAAATCTTCCCACAGACTTTCATCCGAATCTGTTGTTGTCAGCGGTCTTGGCTCCGTTATTGTCAGCTGTTCGGGCTCCACTATTATGGGCGGTACTGGGCACACTGCACTAGCCGCCCGGTGTTGTTCTATAACTGTTCGAATATTGATGTAGTCCATCCTACCAATGCTGGCCTCTTTGTCTGTGTCAACCTTGGCGGCATCGGTTGCGGATTAGCCTTTCTGGGCCCGCCGAGCGCACTATCCACGAATATCCTGGCCAGTCTCTTGGTCACTCCTATATGGGTACTTCGAATATTATGATCCTGTTTCACCAGTGGTCGCCAGCTCTTTCTATTCAAGGCCGGACATTGATTTCTCAAATGAGTTTCGGATTGGCAGTTGAAACGTCGCTTCTTTCTAATGAATTTTCCCGACGTTGACAGAGCCTCCATTTGGTGAATATCCCCACTGCTATTAAAATCCATGACTTTAGGTATCAACGTAATTTGATCTTGTAAATGGATTAATTTTGATTGTGATTGCATTTTTTTTTATCAAAACAAAATTTTAACCAAAATTTTTTATTTTTTCAAAACCAAATTTTTAAACAATAAAAAAAAAATTTTTTTTTACACAAAAATTTTAAATTAATTTATGTTCATTCGTTTCACAATTTAATATAAAAAAAACATTTTACCCAAATATTTATTTATTTTATCTTCCCCTTTGTCTTCCACAACAACTCATGATTTTCTACAATAACTAATACAAATATTTATTGATCACAAATTCCCTGATCCCCACAACACAAACATTATTCCTTCCCTTAAATAATAAACATTTGCCATTTCCAACTTAACTCCTTTTTTGCAACCACAAAATATCACTAAGTATCTATTTACTATTATTTGTTATTTTATTATTATTTTCCTAACTTACAACCATATTCACATCAAAGTGAACCGTCCTTAATCATAAACCAAAATACAACTTTCCTTTTCTTCTCCCGGTGACCATTTATAACACAAAAAAGAAATTCTTACTTTTTCCTTTCTCTCCTAAAAAGAACAACTGTCCGATGTATAACATAATCATAAACGATTCCCTCGTTATACCATTTAATTACTTACTATATTCACATTACTCTGTGATGAGAATAACAAGCAATAAACTAATAAAATACTTTCCTCCGATGGTCTTTACCATTTTACCGAAAGCATAAATTACCAAAACACACCCAGTTGTTCGGTATTCAACTAATTTAATTTACATAATCTTGTTTCATACTCTACTAATTTTATCAATTTACGTAACTCTACGTAATCTTGTCTTGTACTCCACTAATTTTATCAATTACTGATTAATTAAATAACCAAAGGAATCTCTATCTTCAAGGGAAAACACACAAAAAAAATCGTTTTTGTAAATAACCACGACACTCAATTATAATCCCGTATAATTATAGGATGTTGAGCTCTCTCCCCGAAATATAAAACCCCCTTTATTTTCCAGATTTTTCAATGTTTCCATTAAGCATCCTTTAATGATAATACTCCATTACATTAAAATATATCCCGATAGCACTTAATCACAAATAAGCATACCTCTATCTTTATAACAATATCTTTATTTACCCCCAATATTACGCGAGTATCGCTATCAGAGTACCCCAAATGGATCAATATTTTCATTATTCATACCTAACATATTATGCTATATTATCACAAAAATCTAAGAATTATGCTATATTATCACAAAAATCTAAGATTCTGGAAAAAATAAGATAAGACTAATATTTAAGCATACTTCCATATTATCTTTATCCCTTCTTACTTTCTTCTAACCTTACGTGATCATTATGTCTGATCACCTTAATTCCATTTTTTAGCAAAATTTCATTTAATTTGGAACCAAGGTTTTCTACTATACTACCTTTTTCCCATTTCTTCCCTTTGTTATCAAACAAACGGGCCCATATAATTCTTCCCACAGTATATTTTATTTCAATCTTATCAACTGAAGGTACACTAGCCCTATCTTTGGACCTTAAGAAATCCAACGGCACTCTAGTCCTTCTTCCCCAAAACAACTCCACTGGTGTAATTCCCTCCCGGTTAAATGGGCCATCCATAAATCATTATTTTCTTGTTTGGACTTTTTAATCCAATTTTTCACGATAGCTACCATCCTCTCCGCCTGTCCATTGGAACTGGGATGATATGATGGAGCTAATACAGGTTTTATTTCCAACGAATTACAAAATTTTTTAAAATTTTCAGCTATAAAGGCCGGACCTTCATCAGACACAATTGTCTTTGGAATCCCAAACCTAGCCCATAACCTTTGTAACAATTTGATAACAATCCTAGTGGTTAATCCATGAACTTCCTCATACTCAATCCACTTAGAATATGCATCTACAACTAAAAAATACGACTTCTGGTTTAAGTCAAAGAAATCAACGTGAATACGCTCCCACGGCTTTTGAGGTTTGGGCCAATAACTGCCTATTTCTTTCCGGCATAGCGGCACACGAATTACATGGAATACAACTCCTCGTAAATTTTTCAATATGATCACCTATTCCAGGCCACGATAGATACTCACGAGCCCAATATTTTATTTTATCTCGACCCTGATGTCCTGCATGCAACAAACGTATAATTTTACTCCGTAATTTCAACGGAATAACGGCTCTATTACCCCGTATCAAGCAATCATCCACTACGGACAATTCCTTTTCAATTTTTTTATAAACTTTACTATTATTTTTCCACGGTTCTTTTCCGTCAAAAATAATTTTACTCGACTCAATTCCTTATCCCTTAAGGTATTGCTTTTAAGATCCTCCCAATTCGTAGGACCACCCTTTAACATATATGATAAAGAACAAATTAATGCTCTTTCTTTATTCACTATTATATTTTTGTTAACGTCAAGATCCTCTTCACTGGATTCCAACCTAGATAAAATATCAGGCAAACAATTTTCTTTGCCCCTGCGATATCTGATTTCCATATTGAAACTTCCCACCAGTAACAACCAACGTTGCAACCGGGGCGATAGCATTAACTCTTTATTATCCTTCTTAAATAAATAAATTAACGGCTTATGATCCGTGTAAATTATAAATCTCTTACCGATCAAATATTCACGACATTTGGTTAATCTAAAGATAACCGCTAGAGCTTCTTGTTCAATAACCTAATATCTAGTTTCCACTTCCCTGAAAACTCTCGAAAAAAATATGATGGGTCTTTCCAAACCATCAATTAAATGTAACAATGCACCTCCAACACCCTTGTTGGATACATCAACCGCCAATATGATCTCTAAATCATTGTTAAAACATACTAAAATCGGTACCTCACCAATTTTTTCTTTTAAAATCTCAAAAGCATTTTTCTGTTCAATTTCCCACTCAAAATGAACACCTTTTTTTAATAAATCATACAATGGAGATGCCACTTTTGCAAAATCCTCCACAAAGATGATAATAATTTACCATACCCAAAAATGATTGCAACTCCGCTTTATTGGTTGGCGGATTCATATTTGTTATATTTTTTAAAAAATTTTCAAGAGGTTTCACCTCCATTCCGTTTATCTGATGTCCTAAGATAGATAACTTCCGTTACCCCAAGAACACTCTTTTCTTTACTGGCCCTCAGACCTTTATCACGAATTGGCTTGAAAACCTCTTCCAAACGTTGATTATGTTGCTCTGGTGTTATGCCCGTCACCAACACATCATCCACATAATAATAAACTCCTTCAAGGCCCTGGAAAACTGATGCCATAGTACGCTTAAAATATCGGCGCTGAAACACCTAATCAAAACGGTAGCCTACAAAAGGCAAATAATCCTTTCGGAGTCGTTATTGTAAACAATTTATGAATTTCTTCTTTCAAAGGCAATATTTTTGGAAAACTCTATCCATTAGAAATAATTCTATCACCAAATTGTTTCTTGTCCCCTTGATTACTCATATTAATCAACTTATATATATCACTATAAATATCTTTGATGGATTCTTTTATATCTTTTAATCCTAGAGGATAACCACTGACCTCTCCACAAATTCCAAACGATCATCGTTATTATCTTTCACCGTTTCCACCATTTCTGGTCTGCCGTCTTGATTTCGTTTAAAATTCCATTTAAACTACTTTCCAAGTCCGAAATTCTCTTAAAACAATTAGCCGACACCAGAGTGTCCTTTTTCCCATTACCATATACCTTGGTCGCAACCAAGTACATTTTCCAAATATATAATTACTATTAATCCTAATGTAACTAAATGATGGCCTATATCCAATTCATTAATATTCTGATACAAAATTTTATAACCCACATCCTTAAAGAGGGCAACTTTATTAATAAAACTAGGCTCAGAATACTTATCGAAATACACAATCATCGCATATAACAAATTTTTACTCTAAAATTACGTTATTACAAAATGTTATATTATATTATCAACCCTGGATGTTAATCGACAATCTAAAAAATATTTTTCAAACTATTTATTAATTAAAATTCTAAAAAATTAAAACAACAAAAATGTGATGATTGCGTTGTGTCCTAAGGAAACATCTAATATGTAAAATAAAAATGTGGTTTTTACCTTATAATAACGAATAGGTATCTGGGATCCTGGTCCACGGTCAACACTTTGAAAGTATAGTAAACCAACAATTCATAATATTTTGAAAGTATAGTAAACCAACAATTCATAATATTTTGAAAGTATAGTAAACCAACAATTCATAATATTTTGAAAGTATAGTAAACCAACAATTCATAATATTTTGAAAGTATAGTAAACCAACAATTCATAATATTTTGAAAGTATAGTAAACCAACAATTCATGAAAATATAGTAAACCAACAATTCATAATACTTTGAAAGTATAGTAAACCAACAATTCATAATATTTTGAAAGTATAGTAAACCAACAATTCATAATATTTTGAAAGTATAGTGCACCAACAATTTATAATATCTTTATTTAAGAAATGAATCACGTTGAAAGTATAGCAAAACAACAATTTATAATATCTTTATTTTTTTTTAAAAATGAATTTTTTAAAAAACTTTTTTTTAATGAATAAAAAAATATCTCATATCTCGAAACAAAAAAAAATATTATCTAATCATCATTTTTTTTACTTCAAATATAATAATAATAATATCCCCCAATCAGATGTATGTCTGATTGTGTTTAACCAAAATAAATTGTAAATACATATAATATACTAGGACACCTATAATCTTGCTGCCATTTATACATATAACAAAATATCAGACTTATATCCTTCAAATTCTTTATTTAACAATATCACAAATTGATAATATAAAAATTAACATTAATATGAAAACAAGTTAACGATAAATATCCAAATTACATTGTGAAATCTTCAAGATCAGTCCAAAATATTTTTCAAACTATTTTATTAATTAAAATTTAAAAAAAATTTAAACAACAAAATGATATGATTGCATTGTGTCCTAAGGAGAAATACAAAATGTAAATTAAAAATATGGTTTTTACCTTATAATAATGAATAATTCTAGTATCTAATATCCTATGGTCACGGTCAACAACTAACAAAATAAAGAACTTAACAAAAAGAAAAAGATTTAAAAAAAACTTACAGAAAATCAATATATAACAATATTTGATATTACAATTGTACACGTCCATTTTATTCATAAAAATATCTAATTAAGATCATAAACTATTTAATAATATAAAACAGTTATCAAACATAATAATAATTATCATAAATTATCCAAAATATGAATTAATTCCAGCTTCCATGTCTTCTCCACCCCAAAAGGCACACAAAGAAAACTCCATTATTCTTCACCAAAACTCCATGTGATCACTCCTTTCAACTCCTATCCCCTAGGAAAAAATTAATTCCCATGTCAGAAAATGACTGACATTCTTTTTTTCAACCGATACAACACTCTCTTCATCTTATTATATTAACTAACCTCATCTTTTTACATCATCTAACCTAAAAAAAAATATTAATAATATAATAGAATATACGATAACATATAATATATATAATGGTTGCATTGTATAAATTTTTTTTGAATGTGTAAAAATGATATTTTTGTGTACACTAAAATCATTTTTATTGGATAAATATTTTTTTTTAAAGAACGCTATTGGCTTAATTTGATTGACATTTTTCGAGGATTATAATAATAGATAATGTATAATCAATTCGATTATCGAAATTAATGAAGAATCTAATATTGGTAGTCTGTATTGCGAGGAATTGCTTTGTAGAATGGATAATCAGTAGTAGGGATTTAGATGAATTTAAATATAAGAATTTATAATTAATCAAGTGAAATAAGTTTCTTTATTCTGATTTCCTTTATCAAATAACAAATTGTTATGATGTAAAAAATAATTGATTCAACTGTAGCTTTATATATATATATATAAAATTATATCTTTTTTTTATAAAATTTAAATCAATTACGGTTATTAAACAAAGCTATAAACTAATATTAACAATTTAAAAGTAATATAAATTGAGTAAAATTTAATAAATATAGATAGACCATTTGTTACAAATATGTAACAGAGGTTAATATTTTTCAAAAATGGTTGATAATTTATAATAAAATTAAGTTATTTTTTATTACTGTTCAAATGTTCATTCATCTTTATTTTTGAGCAATATATTGGAATATATTAAATTATTATTGATATTAAAAAATTTTTTGTTAAATATGACTTATTTTTCAATAATTGAAGATAAACCTTTTAAAAAATTAATTCCATTTTTGAATCTCTCGCTAAGCATAATTGTCTAGGAAATTAAAATTTGAAATTATGATTGCCAAAGATAAGAATTCTAAATTATCATTTAAAAAGGAATCAGGAAAAATATCTAGGTTCAGTTCTCTAAAACAATATTATTTCCGTTTATTCCAGTTCAGTCTAAAACATTATTGCTTCAAGTTTATTCCATATATATATATATATTTATTTAAACAATATTTTTTTGTTAATTATTTATAAAGTATAAATCTTAAAATTATTTATATAATATTTATATTGACACTATTTGAGAATAAAGCTGAGCAAGCCGCTTTAATTTACTTTGAGCCATCTTAGGGTGAGAATCAAAGTAAGGAGGATTTTAGAAAACTTGTATTATAAATAATCTTAGTGGCAGGAAGCTATAATCTCAGACAAACCACGGAGTTTGATAGAGAAAGAATTTTTATTAATAAAATATGAGATCAAATATAAAAAGCTAAAACAATTATAAATTGGAGATAAATTGATTTATTTTTATAATTTTCCCAATTCTCTCTTTAAACAATTTCAAATTTACCTAATTCGATGAAATATTTTGAAATTTTTTTTGGAATAACTATAACTTCAGTTTTTTTTTTCATTTACTGAAATACGGAAAGAAGTGGGAATGCCAAATTCTTAAATTAGAGTTAATATTAAATCAGAAAGTTATATCGATAGTTGTGTTAAACGGCTAGATTAAAGCTGATTTTTTAAAACAGCTGAGTCAGTATTGCAACCAGAAAAATATTGTCGAAATCCCGAGATTTCGTTATTAAGGCTTGCATAATATTTTTCCTAATAAAATAACGAGTTAACGGTATAAAAAAATGTGGTATGGAATCTCCATGAAACTTTTTTTTAAATATATCATACAAGGTGTTATATGTGATTTACACTATCAGGTTTTATCTGGTTAATGATAGTCACACTACCAAGTCAAAATAAAGTAATTTTCTAAATATCAACCAAATTTGCTAAATACCGATGATAATTTATTAAAATGTTATAAACTTATTATTTAACATATATTATAACGGAATCACGTGGTAGAGTCCGGCTTTCTATATATCATCTCCCCAAGAACGGAACCACCAAGTTAGATTAAGAAAAAATTATAATTGCTGGGATTCGAACCCAATCGTCTGATTGGTAAGCGACAGTCTTGCCGACTAGGCCATAGAGGCTTTCAAAAATCACGATTTTTCAAATATATATTATAAATCAATTTGGTAGTGCCTATCCAAATGAAAAATAAACAAAATACAAATTTGATAGGTAATACCTTAAGGTAGTGACAATCATTAATCGTTTTATCTCTGGGCTCCGATAAAGGAAAAACAATTTTCTAGAGAATTCTGAGAACATTTAAAAAGATTACTTACCAGATTTTACTATGATTCTTAAAAATAATCTAAGAAAAGTAAAAAAAATTTTATTTCAGTATTTTTTATATTGATGGGAAAAATTTTAAGCATTTCAGAATATTTGTTAATATTGAGTGTAAAAACTTAAATCAAAATATCCCATCCATACCTATAAGTGAGGGACCAGAAAGAAATGACCAATTCTATATATCATATATAAAGGTTACAAGCTAACTTAGTAGACAATAAGTACCTAAAGATTCTTAAAACATTTTTGCGTTTTTATAATTTGAGGAAATTATGTGGGTAAATTAATATTGAATAAGATACTTTACTTAAAATATGCATTTGCAATATATTTATTTCTTCGCGATAATTCAATTGTGATAATAACTTAGCACAAATAAATTTGCTAGGGTTAGTGATATTACCTTCACGATAAACGACATTCGAGATATAAATATTGACCAGATACAAAAAAATAAACATAAAAAAATTACCTTAAAAAATATATCAACACCAAGGTTCAAATAAAGTTTTTTATAACAATATTAACTTTATTTTATATATAATAGTAAAATAATGAATCTATGTAATATTAAATTATATTTTTTTTGGTCTTTTTATTTAGGAACAGTCTGGAACGACTTTTTATGACCATGGTCTAGTTCAAGCACATTGGTCCAGTCCAAAGGCAGGATCGTGACCTTTACTAGCTAGAAATATCTTATAGGCACCATATTTCTTTTAAAAAGGTACTTTGTGATACTGAAATTATCCTCTAGTTTATAATATATCATCTTAGAAAGAATGATCTCTCCAGTTTAACCTTCACTATGAACATTGCTAATTAAAATAAAATAGAATGAAGCACATATGATATTGATTTTTTCTTCACTTTAACTTAGAGTTACAAGATCAAAACAAATAATTGTGAATTTCATATATTTTATTTATTGTAATGTAAAATTATTATAATTAATTACTTGATATTTTAATAAAAAAAATTATGATCAATAATTTAGTTTATTTTAATAAGATTATTATTTACTTACTTTGCTTTATTCGTGTTATTTAATTCCTACGGCACACAACCAATAATAATTTACAAATATATTTCATATAAAGGAAATTTAAAACCCATTAATAATATATCATGCATTCTCTATAAATTGCAAAATTGATAGTCTGACAATAATTTTTTGACATACCTTTTTATGTTTAAATGAAATTTCAAAATACGCTCAAAATTTTAATGGTATGCATTAGATTAAATATTCATCAATATGATTAAACTCACAACAGAGACAATCAACCTGGCCTAACTCCATGGAAAGCCCAACGGAAAAAATTGTTTGCCTTAGGTTGGATTTATATATATTTTTTGAATTATTTATAAACTTTATATACTGGAAAGGGTGGGGCATTAGATAATATAAAAACTTATATATCAAGAGAAGAATTTTAATAATTTTTATTAAATTAGTGCTAATTTAATTATAGAAAACTATTCAAAAATTATATAATATTCAATAATGTATATATATAATTACAAATTATAGCATAATTAAAAATGAATATTAGACTTCGATATCAATCTTCATTTTTAAATTATTTTATAAATTTTTAGCACGATATATATTAATATAGATTAAAAACTATATAAGGTCAATTTCAATATTTTAAGAAAAAACAATATATTGGAATTTATAATTAATAATAATATTATTCTATCATAAACCCATTACTCTTTTATTACCAAAAAAAACTTTCACTCATTTTATTAGTCATGCCTTCCTTCGTTTTGAATACAAATTTGCCAAAAGAAAAAATCCCAGCTTCATTTATATTGGATACATCGTCCTTAATAGCAGAAATATTGCACAAGCCCGAGAGTGTAACATTTTAATGTTTATAATTATTTTTATTTTTTATTTTTAGTATGTTTGTATAATGGTAAACCCAGGACAAATGATGAGTTTTGCTGGATCACAGGAACCATGTGGTATAATTAATCTTATGAGTATTGGTCAACTTGGCTCGTTAAACAAATCGCATAGTAAAAAAATATCCACATTTATAGAGAATAAATTAGGAATATCACCTTCAAGGTTAGATTTTAAAAAAATTTCATAAATTCTTATTTATTATAATAGAATGTACATTAACTTCTATGATTCACCACCAAATGACGTTGGGTATAATGGTAAAACATTTGGATAATTTATGCTATGAACACTTTTTATTTAATAAAACACAAATCAACATCTGACTTTATTATAACTTATTTATAAACCAAAAAACAGTCATATTATCTTACTTTTTATATCATAATTAATAATCGATTTGTTTCTAAATTGTTCTTAAATGTATTGATTCCAAATGGAGATCAAAATTCATACATAATTATATTTCTAACAATTATTTTATCCATAAATAAATATAAAATTTATTTTATTCAAGAATAAATATAAAAATTATGTATGCATTATTTTTAGAGTATAATAATTTATATCAAGCATATTCAAATTTTAACACTAATTTATAAATACATTGTATATTAATTAAAAATTAGGCTAGTTAATAGTCATTCGCATAATTTTGATAAAAATTAACTACCATTAATAAATAAATATAACATATTTAAATAAACTTTGTAGCAATTTTAAAAAAAGTATACAATGATAAAATAGAAATACATATAAATGGCTATAGTAAAAGTAAGTTTAAGGCTCATTAAAGCTGTTATTACCTTGCATTGATTTTTTTATTTTAATGGAACCTCCCATATTCAAATATTTCCTTGAGACATTGGAAATTTAATCAATCAACCCTACATGAATGATATATATATATATTATTTTATTAAATTTTTAATAAGTTGTAGAGTTGAATAGTATTATATAAATATTTGTATTTAAAATACTTTTTCAATATTTATTTGAATAATTTATATTGTATTTATATTTGTACAATTAGTAAGGTCCTATCCCATTTAATTTTAAAAAATAACCGATCTAATTTTTTTCAATAAAAAATATTGGCTCATCTTGTTTCTTAAATTTTTGATGGCTTTTTTAGATTGTAAAATATTAAAAAGTGGTGCCTTCTAACTTCTATAATTTGGGCGTTATTTCAGTAAAGTCGTGCTTTTACAATGTACAACGACATTAAACAGCAAGAACTCAAATTTATATTACGAGCCAAATATATTTATGGATTGTCAAATTCTTGGTTTTTTAGTTTTGACGAAATAATAAACCTGACCTAACTTATTCAATTGGATAGATTTAGTTTTTTTTATACTGAAAATATTTTATATTTTTTTTATTTTACTCTATCAAATCGAGTCGCGAAAGGCAGTTTTAAATATGAATATTTATTGTAAACCTAGCATATAAATATTTCTACTTTTAAAATTCAACCCATACTTTTTGATCCTTCACTACAAAGGTGGAAAAAAATCCCTTAACTACAAAGGTGGGGTCTATTTTATCCCAAATTTTGATTAGCTATATCTCAGAACATATTAAAATTTGAGATCTACAAATACAATTTTGAATATATATTCAAATATTATTGGAAATAATAAATACAAAATATAGATTAATAGTTACTTCTAAAAACAGTTATGCAAATTTTACTAAAGTTACTGAAATAAAATTTTTTTTCTGAGACCTTTCTTTAATTATATTTTGATCACCAAAAAGTATTTAAAAAATGCAAATTTTATTATATATTTTATTAAATGAATGTCGAATATAGATAATTATATAAATTTTATAAAAAGATATCAAATATTTAAAAAAATACTAATCATCAAATATCATGTAAATTTTTGTACTAACATTCACAACAAAATGTATGCATATGATCTTTACAAATGAATTTTGAACAATTTAAACAAATAAATGTTGTTTTTACCTCCTTCACTCTTGGACAATCTTTACATACTCCCTTTTTATTAGTTGGAATATGTTTTTCATCAGTTATATTGAGAACATCCCCAATGTTGTTACGTAATAATCTACATATACTAGGGTTCTCAGAACTGCTGATCATATATGGAGTTATCAGTTCCATTGCTAATAATTTTATAAATTTTTATATTCGATAAATTATTAGCTTTATGAACTATCAGTACATTTATCATTGATATATTTACTATAGTATAAAAAAAGGCCAATGGCCGTCTATTGGATACCTGGATATATAATATATGGGGATAGTTGATCAACTGTATCAACTCCAGTTTTTGTTAAATTATAAAAAGTTATAATTTCTTTTTTAAACTTATCAGTTGATGCATCAATTTTGTTATGAGTGTGTAGAAAGCAACACTATATTCTTATACTTTTTTGGTATGTATGAAACTAACAGTTCTATTTTCTCTAAATGCAAATAAACTAAATTTATATCTCTAATAATCACCTGACTCACAATTTATATAAAATGTTATAAATATTAAATAGACAATTCTTCCAGAACTTGATGATATTAAATTTTCCATGTGCACCCTTTATAGTATTTAGCTCCATAATAAAAAAAAATAGTATTAAATTTTAAAATTTTGGGTTACAACACAACATTGAAAAATAAATTTAAGTTAAGAACCTTTCTATAAATTTAGGTAGCTGACATATAAGTGCAATATATAAAAAATTTAGAAATGGGTGGTTCAGTTTAGATTCTCTTTAATAACGGCTAATATATATTTAACAAATCGTTTCAGGTTTGGTTTAGCTGAGTTAAAAATCAAGCTAAACCTTGGATATGAACTAAAAAGATTTCACCAAAAAACCATTGTTGAAACAAATAAAGTCATCGAAAAAACAAGAAATAAACTGAATTGTATTGTTAAAATGTTAATTTTGATGTATTTGTCAAATTCCGCATAAATTTTTTCAACTCTATAATTGTCCCATACATAATATTTCTCTATAAAATCAAGCTACAAAATAATTCTCTACAAAATAATTCTCTACATTCATTTTAAAATCATTCTCTATAAACGACATTCTCTATAAAATTATTCTCTATAAATGCATTCTCTATAATTGTTTCTTCTCTATAAATGTTTATCTATAAAATACATTCTCTATAAAGACGTGGAACCCCATTATTATTATTAAAAAATTTTTTATATATAATTCTTTTTATAATAAAAATAAAAACTTCACCCTGCGCCTTCTATTTTATTTGAAAAAAAATTAGTTTTAAAATTTTGGCTTATATTGATGGGGGATTTCTTAACATGTGATATGTTAGTGAAATGGGGGATTTATTAAAAAAAATTTTAAGATTATATAAAAATCTCTCTTAAAATCTTTCTTCTTTATTCGTTATTCAGAGTCAGATAAAATATAACATTATATATATTTTTTTAAAATATATAATTCTTTTTATTAATAAAAACTTCTAACGTTTCCTCGCCTTCTATTTTTTTTCCTTAAAAAAATTTTAAATACCACTTTTATTATAAATCATAATTTTATTTTTTCTTTCAGATTCAGATATATGAAATTTTTTCTTTATTAAATAAAAATTTTTTAATTAATATTATGAAAAAAAATTCTCTTATATCTAACTTCTTTTTATTTGACTAAGACAATATTTTTGCAACATGCAGCTCATATATTATCTATTATTTGTAGTGAGATTCATTTTCCTATGATATAAATAATTTATAAAAATTAAATTATTAGATATATCCAATAATAAAGGAATATATATTAATAGTTGAATTATCTTTTATCTCATAATAAATCGTTTAAATCTTTTAATATAATTGTATTAAAAATATTTATAATTAAATTTAAAATTTCAATAATAATAATCCACAAGTTGGCGTGTATTATTATAAAATACTATTATAAATATTATAATTATTTAAAAATGTTATATATCAGAATTTACTCACTAAAACATTATAGGTTCATTTTAATAAGCTGAATTATCATAATAAGCAAGGTGGAGAACTATGTATAATATTTAAAACAAAGTCATGCCTGTAAAGTATATTGTTAATATTACGATATAAAATATTATTTTGTGTCAAATGATATTCAATAATACCAAGTTACTATTTAAATAAAAAAATTTAAATATTATTTATCTTGATTTATCTAAGTATTATAGTAAATGATTAATTTATATTTATATAATTAGATATAAACATTTACCTTTTTTTTTACCTCATTTTATTAAATTAAAAGATTACAACCACAAGTAAGCTATATCCTTTACAAAAAAATTATATAAATTTTATAGATTTTTTTTCTAATCGTCATATGTAATACACTTAATATATTCAATTAGAAATGGATAATCATGTAAGAAAATATTTTATTATGGGTAGGTCCTCAGGAATAAGAATATAGATACAGATGTGAAAAAATTAATATTAGATACAGATCTAGTAACTTTTCAAAATATCAAAAAGATACTTGCAGCTAATTATCATTACCAATTAAATTAGAATAGTTTATAAAATACAGTTTTTAATTTATTTGTGAAGAACATAACATATTCATTTAGAATGAATATTTAAAATAATTAATAAAATATTTAATGATGATTTAATATATCAGGCATTTTATATTAGTAGTAGCCCATTCTTAGCATAGATAGGGAACGGAGACTAGTATTTTTAATGGGAGTTGAAATATTAATTTGTAAAAGAGTATTTAAAATAGATTTATTATTTTTAACCAAAATTTTCAAATTTAGTATTAGACCCTTGCCATTTTTGCATACATAGCATTGTACCAAAACTAAATAACCTTTCAATTGAGGCTGTTGAAGATGTTACAGTATTTTTATAAAAAAATTTCCTTAATAGAAAGATAATAATTAAGCATTTATAATGTATTTCAACTTTCTCATAATATCATTTATAACCTCCAGTTCAATGTTATTTGTATTGAACTCAGCAACACTTAAAGACCCTTTTCATGGTCATTTAAACAATCAAATTAGATTACTTTAATGATTAACTTCACAAAACAAAATTTATAGAAAAAGAAATACATAAACGCTTAACCCACCAACAATTCTCATTAGATATTAATCTACGTTAAAACCCCAAGTTATTATATCTCAGAATAGCAAATCAAAGTCTTTCGAAATCAACTGAAAATTTGAACAAATACAACTACCCCCCCCCCCCCCCTTATACATTCTTTACTTAAAACCAATATATCATTATACAAATAAAATATAACGTCATTTAAAATATCCGGAATCCCTTATCTAAATTATATTTTTCCCCTAAAAATGGTAAATCTTTATACATATTTATGCTAGGTGTAAAATAATCTACAAACATTATATGTTCGA